GGTTCTTAAGGAAATGCGTTGAAGCTCTAACTTTCTATGTTAGAGTTAGGGTTAAGGTTTTAAAAAAATACATATGTGAAACCAAGCTAATCTGAGTGATTCTATCCCTGCCAAATGTGACATGTAAATGTCTCCATTGTGAGATTAATAAAGTTTATCTTAATTTATTGTACAGTATCTTAAAGTAATGCCATTTTTGTTTAGCCTTCACAGTTAGCCAATGTTGTATCACCTGCATGCACCTGCACCTCAGAAGCTAAGCAGAGCAGGGCCTGGTTAGTACGGGGATGGAAGACTGGGAAAGACTGGCCAAAGTGTTGTTGTGTCCTCAGGCCTGTACTGCCTGGAAGGAGTCTGGTGTGTAAGTGAGTGACTGGTGGTGTTGGAAGAGCCGGCTGAACATACCGTTGGCTTGCTTCTGAATGAATATGCCATTAGCAGCATCTTTGAGTGTCCAAAAAAGGGCTATATAAAACTGAGGCGTTATCATCATTTGTGTTTTGACTGATTCATGCCAGTTTGAGTAATGTACGTTCTCCTCAATCCAAAAGCATCGGTGCTCTTGGCTCCTCATGCTTTTTATTTTGTTAATCTGCGATATACGGATGATTCATCAACATCCGACATTCTGGCTTGAGCGTTACAGAAGTCTCTCTGATGTGATCGGCTGCTGCGCCTCCATGTGTCGGACCATGGACTCTGAAGACGAGGAAAATAGGGGAACATCAATACGACAATTTTGAATATGAAAGTGTTTTTTTTTTATTAAATCCTATTTGATCAAAATTTTAATTTTAAATATTTTGTGGTGTACAGGTGTCCAAATCACAGGGCAACTCTCTCTGAAAATAATGTTGAAAGAAGTGTAGATTGAAATCATCCAAAAAAGTCGTGCTAATGATTAATAGATTAGTTAATTCATTATGCTATTAGATTAATTTATCCTGAAAAGACATTTTATTTAAGAAAATGTCCAGGTATCATGTAGCAATTCTAAAATTGCTACATGATAGATAATTAAAGTGATTGTATGGAGTTTGTTAGAAAAAAAGAGAGAGGTACATGATTTGAAAAAAAATATGACCCAAGCTCCCTCCTCCTTCCTTTCTGATTGGTCTTGAAGCCCCGCCTACTTTTCCGTGCACGCGTCAGGTGCGGAGGAGAGTTTATTAATTTACATATTTGAATATTTAATCATAATTCATCATACAGCTCCTCACAGCAGTAGAATGCTCCATTGATTTGAATGTAATTTCAAAATGTTCTACCGATCATTATTTCTTGACACTTAAACCAATAATGAGCGCTGCCCTTTGGCAACGCACTCTGTGCTTGTAATTCAGCTCTGTAAAATACTAAGATTACTCCGGACAGTAGTTCGCACACTTCGTCACAGGGCTTTCAGCGCCTGTCACTTATTACTTCTGTCTAATCAGAGAAGCTATCGGAGCTAGCCACGCTCAATAACATATTAATCAGTCAGATTTAGGTTAAGTTTATATTTGGGTCACTTACTGCTGATGTTCAGAATTCTTTGTTCAGTTTTCATAGTTCCAGAGAGCTCTAGTTAGAAAGCTAGCCAAGCTGTTACCAGTCTGGCCGCGTCACGGGGAAACCTTTGGGAACTAACTATTTAATATATATCATTTTAAAAAGATAATGCCCATTACAGCTTCGAATAGTAACGTCTAATATTCGTTCAAATATATAAATACATAAATATATATATATTCATATTATATGCGAGCAAGAGCACAATGATTGGTTAAAGTGGACGGCATCATGGATTTTGAGCTTTAGCCCCCACCCTGCTCCCAGATATGGATTAAAGGGGTTGAATATGGATGGATGGATGAAATCGTTAAAGTGAATACGTTTACAACCTCTGCCCTGCTGTTTAGAGTTGAAATTCCTCAAAAGTGATAAAAGAGATAAAGCTACAGCTACACACACAGACCGACTTTCCGTTGTGTTGTTTTCTGATTTGGTCTTGAGTGGAGCCCACGCTGGAGGAGCGACAATACTTGTTCTGTACATGCTGAAGTATTAAACCGGAATAAAGTGAGCTGGCGATAAGAGTTCAAAGGCTTCTGTGTGGCCAGATGCAGAGCTTTCTCACAAAAATCCTGTTTACATAACACCAAACTGAATGGATGAAAGCCAGATCATAGAGCTATGCGTTATCACTAAAGCCTCAAGGTTTCTCCTCTCTCAACTGGGACCAGGAGTAACACACTGCATGACTCATTTCCCAGGTCCATTGTATTTCTCATGCCCCCTGTTACTGCTGTCTGCCGCGGGCAACACAACAACCAAAGTGCAAATGCTTGGCCTGATGGTTATTTCTACTGCTACAATAAAACTATGAAGAGTTATACTCGAGAGTTTAGTCGTAGTATTAAACAAGATGGTGTGAGGGATACAACAGAAGGTAAGCTAATCTCAGTAATGTGTGTTTACAAAAGCCCACTGATCAGAGCGAGTGTGCGTCCTACTCCTCATCTGTTTGTATTTATAATCTGTGAACCGCGTTCCAAGTGTGGGCACACTCTGCTCACTATGTCTTTGGAACAAAAGGAGATACAGAAAGCGGCTAAATTACAAAGACTTGCATTTTTGTGTGTTGGTTTTATCTTGGGTGCAGGGGTGGAACATGATACCACTTCCATGAGACACAAGCTTAAGGTTGAGGCACACTTTTTTCACTATAGTTGAAGTTATGTAATGATTACCGAGGTTCACATCCTATTTTAGACTGATTTTAATGTTCAATATCTTTAGCTTGACTTCAGCAATAGACTTTTTACTTTCATGTAAATAACAACCATGTAAACCACATACTCTAACGTATCCAGCTTACACATACATCACCAGCGCACAACTAAATTATTAATATATTTAGTTTAAAATTGTGTATATTTGGGATTTAGTATCTTATGTTTTACAAATTGTGTCATGTTTTTCAATGTAGGTTCTAATAGATACAAGTTTTGATACAAGTTTTGAGTTCAAAGTTGTCATTTTTAAACAATGCGTGATGTTATTTGTTTAGCAATATTTACACAAAGCGTCCTGCTGTGCGCTTTCAGATATTCAGATCTTCCGGCCCACATGGATGCATTTTTTCCTCCAGATCGATGTAGCCGTTATTATAGAACACGATATGATGCGCACACAGTAACACACCACCTGAATGTGTGATCCATTTGAATATGGTTTGACCTACCTTTAGCATGTGTCCTCTCTCTCACACACATACACACACACACACACACACACACACACACACACTGTCCTATGACCACTACAGGTCCTGTGCTGCCGCCTGCTCCTGTGGCCTTACTGCTCTGTCTTCTCTCTGCTCTCTGCCTCTGAGACCCTCGCACAGCACCACAGTGGGAGTTTTCCACATAGCAGATGTTCCGGATGGAAGGAGGAGGCGGAGAGAATGCTCAAACTTCAGATGTATCACAGAGCGGCCTACACCTGTCTCCTCCAGATCAAACCAGCACTCTGGGATTCACCTAAACAAGCTTTGTCAGGGCGTATGCGCTTTCAATATCATTTACATCCTATTATTCTAAGGCATGATTCTGACTTTTGACCAAAGGGCTGGAAGTAAAAACATCTAATGTTTTTCTTTTCTTTTCACAAAACATAATTAAATGCATATTAAATATATGTTCAAACCTTTGATTCAAAGCTAAAAGAAATAATAAGTGTTTGCATTATTTATTTTCGAATGTACTTAAATAATCCGTGCAATCACAAGGAAACCGCTCAGTGTTAAACAAGTACAGTTTCACATGATTTTGAGTAACTATATAAATTAACCAATTAATTGACAATTGGTTAACATGGGGGTGGGAGCTTGTGGCTTGACTTCTTCCCATTCCATCAACAGTAGTGAACAAACGACTCCTTGAAATGTAAACATGAATATAAATTAAATGAATGAATATACATATATGCATGTATGTATGTTTGCTTCCTGTATAATAATCCTGTAAATTACATACATTATTCCTGTGTTTAAGCTCATGATAAATAATAAATGAATGAACAAACAATATAATGCAATAAACTTGATGAATCATTGCAGCCCTAATCACCATCGCTCTCTCTATGACGTAAAAACAAAAATAAGTATAGAAAAACACACAAGTCTTTGAAAAAAATACCATAAAGTTACATTATCCTAAAACATGTGGAAGATTAAAAACATTTCCAAATACATTGACAATTTGTTCTCACCTCAATAAATCTGCTGCACAGTACAGCGCTCGTCATTGTCACGCTCATCAGAACAGCCTTAATTGCCTTTGTTAAAAATCAGAAGCGTGTACTTTCAAACCGTTAGCGCACACAAGCCGACACGCTAATCCCAGCACTTTGTTCATTTACAAATCACTAAAGCTTGTTTATGTGCATGTCACCATCAAACTAATTAATTTACGCTGGCTGTAATAAAGTGCAAGGAGCAGAATATAACAGCAGCACTCTGGGGAGCTCACAGCTTGATTATACAAGTTTAATTTGCAAAAGACATAATAATTAACACTGTGCAGTTACTATGCATTATTGCTGTCAAGTTAGACTGGAGGGGACTTCTTAACAGTTGCCACATCAAACCAATGCATAAAAGCGCACCCAGACTCGGAAAAATAGTGTCGTTTGAGGATAAAAGAGGTCCATATGACTTGCAACGTGAGTGAATGAGAAAGCACAACAACTCTCATTAGGAACTCACAGCATGAGAATATATAAATGTATTATAGGTAAGGACTATAGTGGAGGAGCTGTCCGTGGTGCTGATAACAAACCCAGTGCATCTGGCGCCCTCTGCACACTGCCCTCATGCAGCTATTGATTAATTATGATTGGCTGGGGCGAGGTGGAGGCTCGGACTGTTTTCTCACTCATCATGGAGCTGTATCCACCCACTCCATGGCCTGCATTTTGAGGCAAGTATGTTCGGGATACAAAGGAAGCAGAGTTACCTGTATGGTTTGGCGGTTGTAGACTTTGACGACGTGGAAGTTAAAACTGTAAATCCCTTTGCGTGGTGCGATGAAATTACTCCTCTCATCATCAAAGCTTTTGCCAACGTTTACAAGGACCTACAGGTGAGATACGGGAGAAGAAGAAAAAAGGTGGCTCTCATAAAATATGTTTATCACAAATTATGAGGAGGGAAAACAGATTCATAAATTCATAAAATATATGCTGTACAATTTGAATAATAAAGGCAGGCAAAAATGTAAATACACAAGTGTCTGAATACATCGCCGGATAAGAGACTTTGATTAATGGGCTTAAATAAAACTAAGCGTGTCCCTCCCTCCCGCGGCACGATATCACATATTAATGGAGGAATTGTTTTATGGCCAGTCAGACGCACGCTCACACCAACTGGTCCCGCAGCAGGAGCGCTGCCTTCAGTGGAACAATAACCTCTCATCTCTCCCCAACCTCTCATCTTTCCCCAACCACAAGTTTCAAGTTTACGCAAAAGGACAGCAGAACTTTCTCAATCTAATGAGTGAAATTTTCAATCATCGAAATGTCTTCTTTATGGACTCAACCACACGGGATCATTATTGAACGGCAGTTTGAAAGAAAATTAACCTTTACCGGCGGGCGGATTGGCGATCGCCCTCGACCTGTCATAATGTCACGGAGACTGAGCGGAGAGATGACTGTCATCAACCAGAGAGTGGAGGGAGAGACCTTACAGTCGTCCACAATTAAAAACCTGCATATCTGTAATGGCCGCGTTTGCAACTTTAACTTCATTTTTAACACGTGTCATGGTTTGAATGGATGAATAGAGCCTTTTAGATGGAGACAGTAGTTTATCCACAGAAAGTTAGTTGTTGTCTTTCAAATGCCAGGAACATGCAGAAAAGTAAAGCAAAGTAAAAAACACAGACAATAGAAATGTTGCCTACCCGGTCAAAGTAGATGACCATAGTGCGGTTGCTCATCTCGGAGGGTTCGTGGTTGGTGTTGCGCACCGCGGAGAAGGCCACTTTGGCGCTGCCCGAGCGCACGGAGATGCCCAGCGCCGTGCCCGTGGGGTCGGCGGCGGGGTTGGAGTCGCACACCACGAGGCACTTCCCCTCCAGGACTATGGGCTCCGTTTCGTTCTGCGCACGGCTCGGACTGGCCCCGAGCCACACGGCAGCGAGCAGGCAGAGCACCAACATGCTGCTGGAGACACTTCTGCTGGAGACACTTCAGCTGGAGACACTTCAGCTGGACAGCGCGCAGCAGTTGCACTTTTTCCGCTCTTCAAACTTGCTTTGAAGTGCGACGCACGTACCGTCAGCTGTCTCCTTCGCGCACACTGTAGTGTTTTATCTGAATCTGTTTCTCGTTCTCACTTCTCAGAGTGTGTGACTTGGAGACACAAGGAACGGCAGAGGCGCGCGGTGGCGGTGTGACGCGGCAGCACAAGTCATAGCGCGCGCCGGGAGCTCCGTCTGCTTTCTCTCGCGCTTCAATTATTCATGTGAGAGATGAGGCTGAACACAAAGGGCGGGCGTGTGCCCCTCGTGTGTGTTTCTCCTCCTCCTACCCCTCCCTGCCGCTAACGCAGGCCTATCCGCGGATTAACGCGTGTGTGGAGCCGGTACTTTCCAATCAGTGCGCGGTGATAGCCTCCCCGCCCATGGATCACTCAATATCTCTCAAAGTGTAAAGACATAAATACAAGCATTATTTAAATCAGGCCTATAAGCTTTTTGTGGCTTTTGGAATTCCTTGACTTTAAAGTCTTCTTTAATAGCCAGTATACGTAATGGATTGGGATACATAAATCACAAATAAGTTGTAACGTTTTATCTTTTTTGACCTTCAATTCATCATCCATGGTCCCTACTTTGATAATAGCAAAAAGGTTCAACATATAACCATAATCTCTCTACTCATCTACAGTTCTTGACTATTAGTTATCACAACAGCCATGGTCATTATCGCAGCTTTTATATCGCTATGTCTATTTATTTTTTTTGCCAAATAATCTTTATTGATCTTGGTTTTAAGTGCAAACATAATTGGGAAACTGTTGCTCTGGAGCAAGTGCATGTTTTATAATTTTTCAGTTGAAAAATACCTCCCCGTTTTAGCATTAAACCCGTTTTCCTGTTTATATTTAGCCTCCAACATGCATTGTTGGAGGCTAAATATAGTTGTTTCTCGGTTGTAGGCGCAAAAGTACAATTTCATTCAACCCACACACTTTTGGTGCTAAAAGCTGAAAAAAGTGTATGGCATTTTTCACAGCTCTTGATGAGACACTTCTGTTAACATATTTGACACACGTTTATTAAAGGTGATGTCAGACACTTGCATTGCATTTCATTTCCATGACAATACATATTTGTGACCATATGACTCTGTAAGATCATAAAAATTCAATATACTTAAAAATCAATATGTTTGATATAGAAGTAGGATTCAATGGAGGACAACAGTCAAACCAATGGCGAGGATTTGAATCAGGAAGCTGTGAGGGTGAGGGCGGGTCTAACGTCTAAAAGTAGAAGGCATCCACTTTAAGGACATGTTGGAGTAATGTTGATGGGATATTATGAAAGAAAAACCCCAAACAAATCTCAAAGTAATAAAATATGAACAGTGGCTCGTTCATCTGCTTGTCCCGCTACTCCCCAAAGACTTTTGCCGATGACTGTCTCCTGCTCTTGTCACCTTTCTCACAGACTGATTTTTATTAGTCCTTTACTCTCGGGCGGTGGTTGCATTGGGCTCATCACTGCTTGATCTGCGTGGTCTCAGTGCTGCCGCTGTAGTGTGCGGGGGGGGGGGAGGACTCTGAGTGACGGGTCAAAAGGACTGATCCAGGCGCCGAGGGACAAGTCACGGCCGCCTCCCCCACTGCTCAGACGTTCGCCTTATCCAGGATCATACACACACATCAGCTTGAGGCGATATTTGAAAACATAATGAATATTTCTACTGTTCTGAATATGTATTTTTTTAATATGTGTTGCTTATATTCATCTGCTACGTCAGCGACTAAAATCTGTCAAACATGCATCTAAATTCCTGTACTTGTGTAGTTGTTTATCGGATTCATGAACTTTGAAAATAATTTAGTCGACATGCCCCTGTAACATACTACAGACTTCATACACTGTTGCTGATTTGAAACTGCTTTTTGTTTGAAATGGTTGAAAAGTTTCACTTAAGTTACCATTTTGCTTTAACTATTAACTTAAGCCAGGCACCATTTATACGTCATTTATACTTCTGAAGTATAGGCCTATTTATCACTGAGGTGAGGGGTGCTGAATGAGTCTTCCCTTAAGGGCGGAGTTTAAAGGTATGTGGGACCTTTAAAGTCCCGCCTCTCTGAAAGATATATTCTCTAGTTTTGTTCAGTCCTTTCATTCTGGTCCTCTACATGGATTTGCACTGGTCCAGACCAGGGCAGAGAGGATTCATGGCCCAAACCAAGCAGATCAGCTGAAAATCCACAGGAGGAATGCTAACTTTTTCTAAAAATGCTAATGAAGCATTTAACATCTTACTTAAGGACTAGAGCAGAGAAAATGGTCTGAACCAAGCGGCTATTCCACCTGGTGACCTGTCCTGCTCCACCCAGTGGCTACTCCATCTCTGCTGTTGTGACCCGTCCTGCTCCACCAAGCGGTTACTCCACCTCTACTGTTGTGACCCGTCCTGCTCCACCCAGAGGCTACACCACCTCTTCTTATGTGACCCGTCCTGCTCCACCTAGAGGCTACTACACCTCTTCTGCTGTGACCTGAAGGGCTGTTGCTGATTATTCCTATTTTTAACATTTTAGAATGATCAATTACATTTTTTATTTTTGCTGCTACTGGACACCTGAATTTCTCCTACGGGGATCAATAAAGTATCTATCTATCTATCTATCTATCTATCTTCACTTTCACATTTTCTCCACTACTTTTGCTGCTTTTCCACTTTTCCCGATGGTGACCAATGTACCACTGGCCCTCCGCTTGTACAGGAGAAGGAGACACGTGATTGGTGCTGAGCATGATAATAGACAGTGAGCTAGTGTTAGACCAATTATTGGTATCTACTTTTTAGTTGTTACAAACATTAAGTGGCCTGAGCAGTTAGAGCTGAGTTTGACTCCCAAGCATGAGGCCTTTCTTGATGAAGTTTGCATGTTCTCCTCATGTCTGTGTAGATTTCCTCCGGGAGCTACAGTTTTCCCAATAAAATATTGTACAAAGAGCTCGTTCCTCTGGGGCTATCAAAAAAGGCCAATTTAAACAAATGAATGAAGGGTCCGACTATAGTTTCTGCTTTTGGTCTCAGTCAGCTTTTCCCTCACAGCTGAATGTCACTGGTTTGACTAAGGTTTAGTAATGCAGCTACTTTACACCACCCAAAGTGCTTTAAAGGTAGATGGGTGATGTATTTAGTATGTCTCTACCAATGATCCATCATCCTCATCCTAAGCAAAATTCACATGATTTTTAATAATAAACACACACAGACCTCTCAAAAACTGAAACGTGGGTAATATGCTGTTTGTTTTTCCATTGCTGATTCTGTATCTGTAATTAACTGTATGCAGAAGAACAAGTGTGGTTCAAACAAAGAACTGTTTCTTATTCATTGTGTTCTTTCCTCTTAATTCATCGAGGCTGTTTTGACGTGTTTTTCCTTGAGAATCTGAAAATAGTATTAGCGCCATGTAATTGTCAAATTACTTTTGATAGTGTGGCATAATATGAGTCTAAAGAATGACCCCAGGTGGGAGAAAAGTGATTTAAGCTGCTGTATGCGATGCCTTCTATGTATTTTATTTGATGTCCCCATGGTATCCGTGTTTCAGAGCTCTGCACAATTGACTTAAGGCACAAAGGAGCTTTCGAAACGAAATCACAGAAAGAAACTGCAAGAAGCCATAAAATGAGTATAAGTGCACTGCATTCCTGAACAGGGCGGAGAATAACACAATGTGGGAGAACCATAGGGGCGACAGTAGCTCAGTTGGTAGAGCATTGGCCTTAAGGCCAGAAGGTCGTGGGTTCAATATCCACCTCTACACCTTCTCCACCGACTCCCACTGATGACTGCTGTCGTTGTGTCCTTGGGCAAGACACTTAACCCCACTTTGCCCAAAGCCCCCACTGAAAGATCAAGGCTATGCTCACACTCAGAGAGCAGCCGTCCTCCTGTGGACTCACCACCTGCAGAGGGTCAGTGAGGGGCTGGTGCTATGAGACTTGGGTGGCATCTCTGACTGCCACCCCCCTGACCCAGAAATGGATTAAAGGGTAGAAAATGGATGGATGGATGGATGGATGGGAGAACCATCACATCCATGCAGCTCAGGGACAAGGATGTGGGTCAGCCGCTCAGTCATTCAACAAGTTTGTTTACATTTGTTACAAGATAATCAACAAACCAATCCATCCAGGTTCAAACTATTGGTCAAAAATACTGGCATCTTTTTATCGATGGCTCGTCCTTTACGGGCTACAAAATGATGGGGTGTCTCCCTTTTACTTCAATGTTTCTGTATTGAGCTGTTTTACTGAAACATTGTAGTAAACATGATTTCCCACCGTTCTTGAGGCGTATGTTACAATTGTTGCCATTGTTTCTATAAAAAACAGATCAACTTTATGTGTTATGTATAGTTGTCATAAACTCATAATTCTCACCTCCCACTGCACACTAAGAAGTGCTTTAGTTTTTTAGGGTTTGGATAAAAACTCTCACACCAAGAGATAGTGAAAAGATAAACTTATAACCAATGTTGTAAATGAGGATCTGACTCCAAAATTATTTTTTTGGAATATACATTTTGAAATTCAATAAAGACCTCTGAAGCTCAGTGCTGTGATATAGTAGTTTATCACCACTGTGTATGGACTGAAATACTGATACCATGTAAAGCACTTCGTTGAATGTCCAAAAAAGCACTATAAAAAAATGATGCATTATTAATAAAGGTGTTTGTGAGACTGATGTTGCATTGTCTCACTCTGAGAATCAAACAGTTCCAATGACACCAAATAAAAATAAACAGGGAGTGTTCCACTGGGCAGTACACCGTGAGCTTTTACAAAGCACAAGTGGCTCTCAGGAGAATAGAGTCCAGACGCAATTTATTCCCAAAGCCAGAACACACTCCGATAGTAATGCAGACAAAAGAAGAACATACACTTTCAAAAAG